GAGAGAGAGAGAGAGAGAGACAGAGAGAGAGAGCGAGCGAGCGAGCGAGAGAGAGAGAGAGAGAGAGAGAGAGAGAGAGAAAGGAGACTGAGACTTATACGCAGACAGGCTCACCGGCGAGCTGACTACTAAAGACGTGGGTATACCCAGAATTGACATGTTGCCCCCAATGCAATTGCAAACCCCATGCCTGGAGACTTATAAAGGTTCGCAAGGCCCTGACAAAGCCACATAGAGCCGTAGAGACCCGACTATCTACTATCTTATACCACACACTTCGCGGTGAGGTTTCATTGCACTGCAGAGTTTATAGGGTCAGGGATCAGGCGAATTGTTGCTTGAAGTATGTGCTATCTTCCTGTGCTCCAGTCGCTGTAAACCCTAAACCCTAAGCCGTCGCTGGGCACCTGCACTCTTGTAGTTCAGGGCCACTTTGTGCAGAATTTCCACTGAGGTGAAGTCCATGAGGGTAGATTCTCCAAAGTGCAACTCCACCTCCTGGAATAGGGCCGAATAGGGCTTCGGTTTAGGGTTCAAAAGTAGGGCCTTGTAAGAAGGGCTCTTCGTCGGCATCGCATCTTGCAAGGCTTCTATGAGGAATTTAGGGGGGTCAGGAGGCCTCAATCTTAGAACAGAGCTTTGAGGCCTAGTGTCATAAGATCATGATTTGGTTTTTTTGTTGACTGTAAGAGATACTGCTACCTTTTTTGACCCCTTCGCTATTGTTCGGGCTTCAGGGTGTTAGGGCTTAGGATTTGGGGTGTTGGGGTGCGTTAGGGCTTCGGGATTGGGGCTTCCGGGTGTTTAGCGTTCTCCATTTGGGAAAGATCTGCGTGTCCTTGGGTTTGCTTTCAGATCCTGAGGCTCTTCATGTAAAAGCTAAGTGGCTCTGAGCTGAAGGAAGAGGTCTCCCGGGGCTTTCCGGTTTCGGCTGCTCTCTGTAAGCGGGGCGTTTTGGGTTGAGGATTTTGGGGCGCCGCTTGGAAGATCGAAAACTTGAACTCCGGAGCTGCGAAGCCCTTTGCTCTCCTCGGGGTCGCGGCTAGGATCCAGGAGCTTCACCTGCCGAGCTTTGCAAGAAGAGCCGCTCAGATAAAGAAGTGCGCAGTGTGAGACTGAGAGCGTTAGCGTTAGGATCTTCGAATGTTTGAGCGGTTTACGGTTCAAGGCTGCTGCGGTTCTTGGATCAAGGCTAGCCACCATCACCATCCAAATCACCATCACCATCACGATCAGCATCAGCGTCATCGCCATCAGCATCAGCATCATCATCATCATGATCATCATCATCATCATCATCGCCTTTGGCTCTAAATCGCTGTGAATCGCCAATCCGAAATTCAACCGCTCGACACGACACCACAAACCCTTAAACCGCTGCTGCAATGTTTCTCCCTTTGCTCAGAAGTTGAGGTCCCCACCAGGCGGTTGGCAGACGTGAAAAACAGGGGACCGTCCACCTCCTGAGCAACGGCCCAAAGCGTGAACCTCAAGCCCCCAGGCTTTAAACATCACTTCCGCCAAAAAAAAGAAGCCTAAACTTGAACCCTAGACCAACATTCAAAACGGAGTCCGAAGCATCACGAAACGCTAAATTCAAAGCCCCCAGCTCTGAATCCGACAAGGTTAAAGAATCCTGGCAAAGAACATCTGTCGGGAGTGCTGAACTCTTGGGGGTTTAAGGCTTTAGGGCTGAAAAGCTCATCGTGTATACAGTTAGAACAGCATGGTAGGGCATGCAAAGGTTAAAGGGCTGCTAGGGGACGGGGCTCCAGGGTATGTGACAAGACTTCGAAGCACACTTGACGCATGGGTTTGGCTTAGAGTTGCGAACTAGAAGCCCTAAACCCGAAACCGTGGCTGTGTTTGAGCTGGGTTTACAGTTGGGGCTAACTTCGGAGTCGCGAAGGTCTTGTGCTGATCGTACACAGACGTTGAAGCAGCAGCAGGAGGCGAACCAGAGTCTCTTTCTGCTTTTGAGGGTTTCGCGTTTAGTGGTTGGGCTTCGGGCTTCTCTGTGGGGGCTTTAAACAGGTGCCTCCATTGACAGGCCCTGCATCTGCGGATTGTGTGCTGCTGAAAGTGGCTTCAGGCGGATGACCATGGCGAAGCCGCCCAAACATGTAAACTCCAGTTCTCTGGACCACAAGCCGGGATGCAAACTTTCTTGTAAGCCTTCGCACACCCATGAATGAAGTCAACTCTCAATCCGAAACTCCCGCACCAAGAATTGCCACCTAAACACCAAGCCCTCAACCGTTGCCTCGACCTAAACTTTTAAACTGCTGCGCGTCCGGTCGAATCTCACCAATGCAGCACTAAATCCAATGAAGCCTGAAACTGTCAGAAAACGACAAAAACGCAAAAACCTTCAACACCTCTAAACACCCTCAAACCCCCAAAAGCCCTCAAAAGCCCAAAGACCTTTCAGACCCCGTTACAAGCCCTTGAAACCCTATAGCGAAACGAGCCGAGACTCGTAGACCTTCATGTTCCCCATCCTGAACAAAGCAGGACTGAGGGCAGGTTGGGTTTTAGGGGTTACGGTCTTGGGGCTTCTTGCTCTGGTCCAACTGCAGTGGTCACCGCGCGCTCCTCCCTCGCATTTTGCACGTGCTGATCTCTGCGGTCGTCGCTGTCAGTCTCGCTCTCGCTGCCTCTCCCCCTCGCTCCCCCCCCCTCCCTCTCTCTCTCTNNCTCTCTCTCTCTCTCTCTCCCCGTTCTCCCACTCTCTCTCTCCCCTCTCTCCCTCACTCTCTCCGAACTGTTGCTTGGAAGTTCTAATTACATATCTGGCTTACTTGTGTAATCATATGGTGGCCTTTGCGCTTCTCCTCCATTTGGACTTCTATGGAGTTTTGGAAGCGTGCTCACTTGCATGCATGACTTTCCACCTTCCGTTGACAAGCTGCGCGACGGGAAATTGTGCGAGTAATGTTTTGAGGTTGGGCCCTCGGAGGCCTTGGCAGTTCTGGTCTTCCCGGTCTAAGATCCCTAGGCTAGGCTTCTTGATAAGGTTCCTGGCTAAGTTATGCCCCAAGGGCTCAGCAAGTTTATAGATGGTTCAAGTGCGCTATGTGGGCGCATACAGATTAAAGAGGGTTTACACGGGTTTAATCACAAAGTTAAGGGGTTGGAGTCAAGGAGATCTGCGCCCGAACCTCTGGAAGCCCATGCCAAGGGCCCGGACAAGGATTCGGTGAGGTGGAAGTCATGGCCCGCATCCCAAGCGAAGCTGATGGCGCAAATCGACACGCCGACCTGGATGCGACTGTCCGGTGGAAGGTTTCTTGTGGGTTTCGGGTATTTGGTGTCCCTAAGACCGCCCTGAAGAGTTTTGGGCAACACTGCTTGCGATGGCTGCAGAGGCTGGCCACTTACTTTTGCGCTTGGCACTCTGGTTTCCCACCACAGTGAGTGGCTCTGCTTTTGGTTATACCATGTACTCGAAGCACCATTTTTCCAAGTGTGCTGTGAACCTAAAACCAAGAATGGCATACCTTAACTCCGAAGCATTACTACTTCCATCCTACGCTACGTGGTGCATGTTGGCTTGGGGAACATAGTAGGGTTACATTTGCTGAACAGCCGCATGCTGCAATCTAAGCAGCAGCCGGCTTCTGAGAGACAAGGTGGCAAAGAGCCGAAGTTTCCAAGTGAAAAACACATCACGAACCCAACATCTGACTCCTTAGTACCTTCACGGCCCTAAGCCGCCTAAACCTCTGCAGCATAGCGGCCAGGACGGCCACGGCGATATTCGTCTGCTTCGAAAGGACCGTGACGACCTGAAACTACCAAGCTCTCCAAACCGACAACCCCTGAACCCTAAGCCCCTACACTCCCCGAGCACCGACACCCTAGCCTAAATTCTGGAAGTTCCAGAATTTATTGGGTGGCTGACCGCAGCACTTCGAACTACAAGGCTTTGCTGCTAGCTGCACTGGAAAGCCTGCGATATCGGCACTGAGAAAGGTGCAACTCAACAACACAAAAACCTCACTGTTGTCATCATTGCAACCCTTCCGGGCTGAAATCCGGACCCCCACATAACACCTTCCGAGCCTCCCACTCTAAAAGCCTTGAACTCTGAGCCCTAAGAAAGCCCGTGACCCCAGTCTTGGGAGAATCGGAAACCCAGATGCTAAACACCCCACCGCACCCAGGCCCTGGGGCCCAAGCCCGTTCAGGTTTAGGGGGTTTAAAGCTTATGCCTTAGTGCAAAAGCGCAAACCTTTAAAGCCTAAATACGGGTAGAAGCCTTGCAATGTGTGGGTAGAAGCCCGACAAACCTCTGTAAAGGAGACCTTTCTTCAACTCAGACTCTCCAACCCCTCCCCCAAAACCCCTCCACCCCCAAAAACCACCCCTTTCGAACTCTACCCATACATGCGCAGCTCCCAGCGGCCAGCACGACCAAGGCTTCGATCCTCGGCACCTGGGCAGTGAGGCAGACGGCTCTTCTTCGGGACCCTCCTAAATTCTAAACCCTGCTCCCACACTAAAGCCCCAAACCCGAAAAGCCAACCCTGGGAGCCCTTTGTTCCAGAAACCCCCTGATCCGAGTATGCCGGGCGCCTTTCGATGGAGGTTCAGCCGGTCACGAAGCGTCTTGGGGAGCACGGCCGCCAGGACCATACCCAGCGAGAACCACCTCAGCTTGAAACTCCTCTCGGGATAGATGCGACACTCTTCAAAGCTTCGGGCGTTTAAGCTTTCAGGGTTTAGGGTGCTTAGGCTTCGTAGTTCCCGGCTTCGTCGCCTTTTGGACACACAGCAGGAAGGTATACTTGGAGACAGAACATGCGCTTCGCCGTAAGCTATGCTGTAAAGCTTCGAAGCCCTTATCAATTGTTAAACCCAAGAGCTCACGCAATTTTATGTTGACATGAATCTTTTTGGGTCCTATTCAGTTCTCCCCAACACAACGAAGCAGGACTACTGGAACCCTCCCCTTCCGCCCTCGCGATTTGGAGGTTGTTGTCCCAAAAACCTCGAAACCCTACGCCAAGAAACTCCTAAGATCATGGGCTCCCACATATGGGCTTTCGATTGCACGCCGCTCAGTGCCCAAATCATACAACTTTGCAATTCGGGGAACAGGCTAGATTTTCGTCAGTTGGTTTTGTGGTTGGGGTTTTGGGCGCCGGGTGCAGGAGTTAGGGCTGAGGAATTCGAGATTTCGGGTCTCCGGACGTGGGGTGCAGGATTACGGGCTCCAACATGGCAGCTGGGCGACTTGAAGGTGTGCAGCACGACGACGATCATGATGCCTTGGGCTTAGCTTTTGGTCTTCTGGTTTCGGGCTTCGGGAGTCCCGGCACAACGAGCGATCGCAAATCCGAAAAATCTTGCACGCTAAACTCTCCGAACCTCAGCACGTCTCAGCAGAATCTGACAGTACCCTCGAAGTGTGTAAACCACACTCCGCAACCCCCAAACGCCTCAACTTCAGATTCAGAGTTTGGGGTCTATAGGGCTGAGGGCCGACCGCCGGCTGTCGGCTTGCTGTAGGCTTCGTGCTGCTCTGGGTCAATGTTTAGTGTTTAGTTCGGGTGTAGGCAGTCGAATCTAGCCCTTCGCAGTGGAGACCACGAGCTTGTCTGTGTCTAAACGGAACTCAGAGCTCCAAACCCCACATGACCTTAACGGCTAGCAAGGCGACCCACCGAGAACGCTGCCAATTCACGATGCGCAGAACCGCAAGCTCTAAAGGCCACGCAGTGACGCCAGACGAGCAAATCCTACAGCCTACCAAGGTCTAAACCCCCAAGCGGACCCATGAACCCCCTTGCTAACCCAACCTCTGGAAAACCCCGAAGAAGGCCCCGCTGCCTGCCAGAGCCGCCACCGGGATGAAGTTCCTTCTGTTTCTTGTTTCGGCTTCTGAGGGTTTCCAGGACCACTGGCGTGCTATGCTGCTTTCCTTTTCCAGCCCTGGGGATAGGGCTTCTCCGGGGTGCTTGGGGTTGCAGTGGTTGCAGTTGCAATCGAGTTGGGGCCTGGGAAGTTCGAGCCCTAGCACCTTTCAGCCAGACTTCATCCGAAGCCCATGAACCCCAAGCCCAAAGTCCGTTTGCTTCAAAAGTCTTCTGTTTGCGCACCTTTACAACGTGTCTGCTCCTGCTGAGCTTGCAAGGATTTTGAGGTTTCGGCTTCCTAGATAGCGAACATGCAACAGATCCAATGAAGACCTTGACCTCATCTGTGGATACAGATGAGGACCTAAACTGCACCCCAATCCCGAACCGTATGGCGACACCATAAAGCCTGAAAGTTCTCGTATGAAGATACATAAATGAGATCTAAATCCTTGTGCCCAAGCAGCAGCAACCGGTAGGCGCCCATAACCGAGGCCATGACCACCAACGCCGTGACGGTCCTGGCAAGCTGGGCGTTTCAAAACATCTCAGGAGCTATGGGTCTAGAGCTTTACAGGGCTCATAAGGCTTCGTGGCCCTAGATTCCACGTAGGGTTTAGGGCCTATGAGGGTGTTTAGGATTTAGTCTTGAGGCCTTGGGGGGTGGAAGCTGCGGGGTTAGGGCTTCGAGGCTCTAGGGCTCTCTGGGGCTTTAGGGATGTGCGCTTTGTTTCTGCTTCGGTGTCCGGTCTTGTGTAGTGGTGCCCTAACACTGTGTATAAGGTACGTAGCTGCTTACTTACAAGAGTTTTTTTAAACTCCCCCCAATGCAGGGGTCCCTGTTTTTGCGTGGAAAAGCAAAGGGCTCAGGCATTTACAGGGCGTGGGTGCTACGGTTTGGTGCTAGGCTTTCGGGTTTTCGGGGGTTGGAAGTGGCGAGTTTTGGAAATTCGCGGTGTCGTTGTTCAATAAGGCTTCCTGCAAAGGCTCTCGCCGCATGATATAGCGGAAATCTCAAGCTTCCTAGATTTAGCAAGAGCAGCCGAGGCTCGCCCCCAAAGCCCAAGGCGGAATCATCCAACTCCGAAGATTGAGCCCTAAAAACTCTGTAACCCCAAGTGTGGGAGGTCAGGGTTCCGCACGGTCTCAAGACCCCGAAAACCCGGAACCAACAAAGGCCTTCAGCTGTGAGTGCAAGGCTGAATCCTAAATCTTACATCCCAGACCCGGAAGCCAACTCCAGGTAAAAAGTTCGAATCCCTGTCCCTAAGTCCCGAATCTATCCCACCCAAAATTCCAGCCAACGGGCGGCGCCATGCGTCCGCGCCCGCCATTCAGGGAGTTGATGGTCGAAAGCCCGATCCTCGGTGCAGCGGAAGTAAGCCATGGCGAGTGGAGCTTTGATTCTAATCTTTGTCCCTATAAACCCTAAACCCTAACTTGAAGGTTTAGGGAAGCAGAGCGCCCTGAGGCGGCTGATGAGTCCTGTGCAAGCTGGCGATTTTCGTGGAAACCCGGTCTCACGCAACAAAGCAAACGACCTGGCTTCTCCTGATTCTCATGAAAGCAGTTTTCAAACCAAAGCTCAACATAACTCCGTCGGAATCCCGGCAGGGTATAGGTATAGCACCCTTCAGTTCTCCACCACTTATCCCGTAAACAGCTTTACAAACGCTCTTGATTTGGGTTGAACCCGTTGAACCCTGATCCCTGCGTCAAAGCCCAGGGTCATAGCATTGCCGCCCATTCCGCCAAGGAAGCCTCGACGGCTTCGTCGGCTGCTCCGGGCTTTGGGATTTGGCATCTGGTGTTTGGAGGCTCGGTCTATAGGGCTGCAGGTTGCAGGGTTTGCGGCGTAGTGCTGTAAGGTGCTGTTTATTTTGTTTGTTGTGTTTCGGCGGTCTGGCAGTTTTTAAGTTGGGGTTTTAGGCTGCAGGCTTAGGGTTCAGGGCTTCGGGTTTAGTTCGGATCTGGAGACTCCTGTACGGTTTGCGCTTCGGGCTTTAACTCCTCCAAGTCACCCTGCTTCTGCCCCCCTCCCCCCCCCCTTCACCTGTGCTCTTGCGATGGAGATACAGCTAAGGCCCAGGAATTTTTTTTCGAGCTACGCCAAGATCATGAGAAGAGCAGGACTTACGCTGCAGCCCACAGCAATAGGTGTGGACGCTGTTCACTGCATTGGTTCGCGAAGCCCAAAAAGACCGCAAATCCTATTTCAAAGCAACTGCTCCCGAGGTGCCGGACACTACGTTGCCCAAACCCATGGCGAACAGCGTCCGGTCTCCCTCGCTGCGGGTCTTCGTGAAAGACTCGACCACCTCTTCGCGAGGCCACGTTGTTTCGGATCTGGGCTTCAGTGTGTCGGCTTACCTTTAATCTAAGGCTTTGGGAACCGCCTCACACAACCAATCCCCAAACCACCCTGCACCCAGGAAACCCAAGGCATAGCCGCTTTAGGCCCTTTTCACTGAGAGCGTCCTCAGGCCGCACCATCAAAGTGGGAGGCTTCTTTGAAAGGGCTTTTGTGAGGAGATCACTTGCATCAAGAGTCAAGAGCGGGTCCCGGAGGTGGCTAATAACTGAGTGAGGGCTCTTGTCTGGAGCATGATGACCCCTGATGAGTAAAGCCAAAGCCGTGAACCCGACAGCCACGAGGCTACAAGCACCGGCAATTTCACCTCAGAAGCCCGATCCGCCGCAAGGCCTAAGCCCCGCCCAGATTTGGCAGGTTCACCCCTTAGGGGGGAGCTGTTGTAAAGAGCAAAAACAAAGAGATCCTTTGAACTCGAAGACCGAAAGCCAGAACGACTCCATGGACCGGCCCTACACTTCTGGGCATCATACTGTGTTTCAGAAAAAGCTGCAGAACTGTAAATCTTTGATGTACGATAGCAAAGCGCAAGAAACATCTTAGCAAATCCTTAATGAATATGCGTATGAGGGGGGGGCTCAACTACCAGGCCTGAACCAGGATGACTCCAACGGTGAAACACTTGAGGTCTATGTTATGGATGGGGCCAGAGCCATGCAGAATGACCCAGCCATCGGTGAGGATTCTTTTTCTGACCAGGTAACGTCAATGCCACAGAGAGGCAGGAATAACCATCTCGCCTCCGAGGTTAAAGCGGTGAAACCCATGAAACCGACGACATCTCAGATGCGTCATCATTCTGGCTTGCTGATCGTGATGGCAGGCTTTACTACCAAGAAAGCCGAATCAGGGGCGTCGACCTCCGAGGTTAAAGCGGTGAAACCCATGAAACCGACGACATCTCAGATGCGTCATCATTCTGGCTTGCTGATCTTGAGTGCAGGCTTTACTACCAAAAAAGCCCCATCAGGGGCATCGAACGGAACGGCTCAGCCTAAGCCTTTGTAGACTTTAACCCCGGCCTTCCACGTTGAAGCGCGACAGCTCAGATCCTGCGATAGGCCAGGAGATACTCTGGGTAGATGCGATTGCCCTCGAAGAGGACAACTTCACGGAATCTGAAAACACCAGTGGGAACCTTGCGCTTCGCGACGTTCACCACCAAGGTATGGTAGCAGAGGGCTGGTGAGGCTTGTGGAATGCGGCTCAGCTCGCGGCGATCTGGTGTCAGAAACACCTCTGTCCCAGTATTTGCGTCCCTGAGCCGCTCCTTGTCAAGGCCTTCCACCACCTAAGTTGTGATCAAATGCGGAGTTAGGGTTCATGGGTTTAGGGTAACTAATTCTACGGTTGCGGTTAGGGTGTTGAGTTGTTCCCTATGCAGACAACGCATGCAGCAGCAAAAATCACCCGGACCCATGAGCAGGGAATCCGATCTTCAGTCAACCCTGGACCCGGCTCTTGAAAAAGCGAGGCACCTGGCAGGCACCGCAGACCGCGCGGACCAGGAAGCAGTAGAAGGTGTCTTCTCCTTCCCCAAAAACCCTTCCCCAACCCGACAAGCCTCGAACCCTGAACCGTCCCTCTCACGCCCTTTCAAGTTGGGGCCCGATCGGTCCAGGGTGCTCAAGCCCCTCAGTGTACCCATCATTGTCCGCTCAGGTCTAAGTTTTCGGGGTCAGAGTGTATGAGGGGTTCTGGCGATTCAGGTTTCACCTCGAGGAGCATCAACCTAGAGATTTCTCTGATCTCCTGGGTGCGCATTTCCGCCTGCCCGGTAGAGGCGCGAGTGGAGCTCCTCCAATCCGGGCACCTCGAATCCTGTGAGATGAGGGCGTCAGGTTCAAGGAAAGAGGTTTAGGAGCGGGCCGAGGGTGTACAGGTGTCAGCGTCAGCTCACAAGCTAGAGCGATGAGCATGCAACACAAAAATCTAAAGTCGCAGCAGTTTTATCCATAAAGCCCTATCAGGGAGACTGGCATACTGTAAGGAGCGGAGTTTGTGAGGGCACGGAGCAAAGATTTAGGGTTTAGGGGAAGTTTAATGTTTTCGAGTTTACGGGCCTGCATCCGGCGTGGTGTACTGGTCAATCTTCTCTGGGTCTTCGGCGAAGTAGCTTCCAGCACCTTCAGGGACTGTATTCGGTCTGCCCCAAAGCACCCCCCAAGGGTGCTTCTTTAGGCCTGATTAGGGTTTAGGGCTTGGGGCTTGGGGGTTATAAGCCCATGTAGGGATTTGCGGCATGTGGTGTGGAAGTAGAGCCGTAGATGAGGCACCGAACATCCCGTTGAGGCTCGCCAGCTTGTCGCTGAAGCCTTGGTGGAGGATGTCCAGGATCCGCGCAGGGTTCGTGCCGTGAAGCAGGAACCGCTCCCCGACCTTTCAGGGTTACTTTTAGGGTTACGTTTTGAATGTGTTTCGATACTTTTTTTGGAAAGTCTTGTGTTCAGGCGGATTTGCGGTCAAGGTGGGCATCTTGGTGTGGTTGTTGATGTCCATGGTTTCGGGGGGTCAATCTTTAACCTTAGAAGCATGGAGCATGTATGCATGGGTGCCAGCACGCCTGCGCCGTGGCATATGGCAGTCTCGATATTTGCAGTCGCGTAGAGTAGTGTTTGGGCCCTAAACACCCGGGGGTTATTAATGGTTGGAGTTTTGGCTTTGAATTTTTAGGGGATTAGGTGTACAGGGTTCGGGTTAGTTAAGGTGTCGGACCTCTGCATACAGCGTCCCCGGCATGTTCTTGGAGGCTTCCTGTTGGTGCCAGGGGATGTGGACAACTCTCGATCCAACTAAACCCTAAACCCTAAGTCCCTACGCCCCTACTAAACCCCTAAACCCTTAAGCCCTTAAGCCCTAAAGCCTTAAACCCTAAACTACACAAACCCGAAACCCTAGGCCGCCCAAATTCGCCTCGGCCTCCGGCCGACAGGCGTCCTAGAACAAGCAGAGGATCTAGTCTCCTTCTCCCCCTTGCCAACCCTTTCCCCCACCTCCCACCACCCATCTCCCCCCCCCTCTGCCGTGGGAGAGCTGGCACTTTCCCCCCAAGGGTCGGCGAACTCCGTTCTGCAGGGGGTTCGGGTTTGCCAGCAAAAACCTGCTGACGCCCTCCGCCGCTGTGGCTCTAAACCTAAACCTGAAATCCCTCAGCCCTTGAATGGCCTCCAGCTTGCTCGTCCAGGTTTGGAGAGGAATCGCCTGGCGGCGTAACTGCTGCATGTTCATGTTGACCGAATTCCGCTCGGCCGCATACTTCAGCCACTGGCTTGGGTACTCCAGGCGCCACGCGCAGGTGACTTCAAGGTTCTCGTAGCTTCGGCCATACTTCTGCGCATCTCGGCCCTTGCCTAGCTCCTGCGGCATGGTGACCACGAAGAGCTGCTTCACCCGATCCAAGGTGTCCGAGTCCACGGGCACAGCGCTCCACCCCTGGGAGATCGTCTGCGGCGACCAGGCCACGGGCGGCTCCAAAGAAAGACCCTGGCCCTGGGCTTCAGGCTTTTTCCGAGCCTTGGCTGTTACTTAAGTAGGGAGGGTTTCGATAGGGGCCCTTAGGGATATTGGGGAGTCTTGCTTGCAGCCCGGGCCAGGAGAACAGCTGGACACCAGGTTTTTGACTCAGGGTTTGTGGGGTCTGGCGCTTGGGCGCAGCCCAGCTGCCTTGACTTTGATCTTCGGAGGTGCCGATGGCTCCTCCGCGTCAGCCGCGACGCGGAGGGAAGAGGGTTTTTCCCCCAGCTTCTCCTGAGGGTTTGACGGTGCTTTCCGTGGCAAAGTGTCTGCAGGGTCTTTGGGATAAACCCTAAACCCTAAACAGCCAGCCGAGAAGCATGGACCTTCCCTGAGGAATCACAGTTGGCATCCTCAGGCGACACCTTGCCACAGGTGGAGGAGTGGTTCAGTTGAAGCAGAAAGTTGGGTTGCAAGAAACTCCAAAAAGGCTGCATAACCTCCGACATCAGCTAGAGGCAGTCAACCCTAGGTATTTCCCTTGAAAGGTGAGCCGTTACATGTGGTCATACTTGTTGCGATCTTGAGCTTGTAGCAAGACTTCTGCAGACTTCTTATCTTGTTCTGCAGCTGTGGGCTAGTGCATCGAACAAAACTGCCAGAAAGTTCCTCTGGGGGGCAGGGATGATACCTTGCAGGATCGGGCTTAGGCATGTCCCACCTGGCTCGCACTCCTCCGCCAGCAGTACCACCAGGCAACAAACGCTAGCCCGCACACCAGAAGCGAGGCCACCACAGCGATGGCCACCAACACACCGCTCACGCCGCTCGCACCGCCTGTTGAGCTGAGCTGGCCCTCCCAACGCAAAAACCCACTAAGTTAGCTAGACGCTTCTAGGGGTCGAACCACCAAAATTGTGTTTTGATGCCGCCTGGCCGCCTGCCGAATCCATGGCCCCCTGGGAAACTTGCGAGGCTGGTGAGGATGTACTCGGAGTGGCGCCAACCGGCGCAGATGGAGAGACTTCGGTAACAAAGGTGCTCACAGCAGTAATGGCGAACTCCCGCCACCTGGACGGAAGCTCTGCTGCGATGGCTTCGTTCATGCGGTCCATGATTTCGGTCGACCCTCAGCTGCATGGAGAGTCCCAGGCGTGGCTCTGGCAGCACAAAAAGATCAGACAGGACTCGGACACCCGTACACCGACGTGAAACCTACTATTTGGGCCGGACGTAAGCCAGGGGGCCCACGGAAGAGACCCTGCCTGCAAAGTCTGACGTGCGCGCAGCATCTTCGGATCCCAATGCCTTTTCGGCAAGAAAATCGACCTGGACGAGGGATGCCAGCCTTCGTCCTGCCCCGGGTGCCAAGGTGAGGTTTACCTGCACGACTGCGCCCCAAAGGCCTCCCAGCGCATCTGCCAGGATTTTTGGTAGAGCCGGCTCCTGCGCTCAGGGCCCAGGATGCTTGAGGTCTGAGAGTCTGAGAACTTGAGAGTCTAAAGTTCTATACATAGTTCTATAGTGTTAGGCCAAGTCGGCACGCTCCTGGACAAATCCTTCCGGAGATCTCACGCTGACATCAAAGGACCCAGAGACAGGCACGATGAACACGTCCACTGCGGTGCTAAAGGACAAAACTCCTCCGGACAAGCCCGGAAATGAGTACCCATTGGTGTCAATAATGGCGCAGGCCGGTAGATCCAGTGAATATGTGGAACCCATTCTGGTGAATGGAGCCAGCTGGACCGTTAAGACATTCCCTGCAATCTTCACTCTTGCTGAGTCCAGGGCAATCTCTGCAATCATCCTCAAAGACACATCAAGCCCAGTTGAATTCCTCAGAATCTCGAGAAGTGTGATGCTCCAGTTGCCCTGAGCAATCGCTATCCCCTTGTCGAAAGTGAACAAGAAATCTGATCCAGGCAGGACCGCCAAGGCCCCATGTGCAGGATCAGTGCTTGCCACAGTCAGGGGATTACCTGGAACCGGAGCATCACATCTCAATGTTGTATTGGCGGGGATGGTGGTGGTGGCAGTCGCGGTGGCAGTAGCGGCGGTGGCGGTGGTGGCGGTGCTGCTGCTGGCAGTGCTGGTGGTGGTGATGGTGATGGTGGCGGTGGCGGTGGTGTCGGTGCTGCTGGCGGTGCTGCTCCTGGCAGTGCTGCTGGCGGTGGTGGTGATGGTGGTGGTGGCGGCGGCGGTGGTGGCAGCAGTGGTGGTAGTCGTCGTGATGGTGAATTTCATCAAAAACATGTCATGGTCGCCCGAATGAATGTTTCCATCCAGCGAGCTCTGTGTACGTCCGGCCACAACGGCATTTCCGGACGAGTCCAGCTGGAGGGCATGAGCTACATCGTCAGAGTATCCACCACGTTGAACGGTCCACTGGTGAATGCCTTCGCCGGTGAACTTCATCAGCAAGATGTCTGCGCCGCCCGCATTGCTGTTTCCATCCAAGGAGCTCTGTGTGAATCCGGCCACCACGATTTGTCCGAACGAGTCCAGCTGGAGGGCAAAAGCATCATCGTGTGCTGAGCCACCGCCTTGAACCGTCCACTGGTGAATGCCTTCGTCGTTGAACTTCATCAAAAACATGTCCTTGTCTCTGCCGCCCGCATTGGTGTTTCCAGCCAAAGAGCTCCATGTGTCTCCAACCACCACAGCATTTCCCGACGAGTCCAGCTGGAGGGCACGAGCACCACCGGCATCCGAGCCACCACGCTGAGTGGTCCACTGGTGAATGCCTCCGCCGGTGAACTTCATCAGCAAGATGTCTGCTCCGCCCGCATTGGTGTTTCCATCCAAGGAGCTCGTTGTAAAGCCGGCCACCACGATATTTCCTGACGAGTCCAGCTGGAGGGCTGTAACCACATCGTAATCTGATCCACCGCGTTGGACAGTCCACTGGTGAACGCCTTCGCCGGTGAACCTCATCAGAAACATGTCATCGTTGCCCGCATTGCTGTTTCCATCCAAGGAGCTCTTTGTAAATCCGGCCACCACGATATCTCCGGAAGGGTCCAGCTGGAGGTCCCAAGCAAAATCATCATTTGAGCCACCGCGTTGAACCGTCCACTGGTGAACCCCTTCGACGGTGAACTTCATCAGAAAGATGTCGTGCCCGCCCGCATTGCTGTTCCCATCCAAGGAGCTTGATGTGCCAGCTGAAGGGCTAAAGCACGCTCATCGTTTGAGCCACCACGTTGGACCGTCCACTGGTGAATGCCTTCGCCGGTGAACTTCATCAGCAAGATGTCTGCGCCGCCCGCATTGCTGTTTCCATCCAAGGAGCTCTTTGTAAGTCCGGCTACCACGATGTTTCCGAACGAGTCCAGCTGGAGGGCAAAAGCATCATCATATGGTGAGCCACCGCGTTGAACCGTCCACTGATGCAGCTGAGCATCAGCTTGTTGCCATATGATCCAGCAGAACAAATAGATGATTGCCATGGCTGCACAGAAGAGAATTTGTTGGAGGTAAGGTGTGACGAGAATGGGATACTGTGATAAGCAATAAAGAGATTCATCCCCATCTGTTGCCATGGTTCTAAGTGCTGCCACTTGTGTAGACACAACTTTCCCGGAATCGCTGAAATTGAAACCGCTCTGGCCACTGCTGGGAGTGATTATTTCTGGGCCACTAGGTTTGACGACACCGGACTCTTGCTGCGCAAGGATGCAACATGATACAATCGTCTTTGTGGCGTCAGTCAAGCTACGCACCCTCTCCCCACCTGCCTTCCGCAAAGATGTTTTTTCATCAGACATCAATCCCGGTGGTTTGCTCAAGACTCGTGCTAGAGTACACTGCGATGCGATGCCGCCTTCCTGACACGCCGAAGTCCTGAACCGTCAACACGTTGTCACCGTAAAATGCAAATTGGGACAATTCCCTGGATGACACATGAAATTTGTACAGAAAGTTCCCGCGGTTCGCTGGATTCGAGGACGCTCTTTGTGCATGTCTTCGACACGGTGAGCGGGGCCTGCGAGCCGGCCCCCAATCTGGTTCAGATCGTTTCACGGAAAACTCACACCTGCGGCTCACAAGAAACTCACAACCCTGAAATCTCTCTCACCAAACTCACAGATACCTCTCTCACTGTCTCTTTCAGAAACATCGCAGAAACAATTGATTTACCATCCTTCAGAGGTTACAAGACCTCTGAACTCAAAAGCATAGCCGAGGCCTCCGAGGTCATGAGGGACTCGATGGAGCCCACGACGCAGAGGAGGATGCCTGGAAAGAGGAGGGCTTGGTCTCTAAACAAGGCTTTCTTAGGCTTCGAAGCTTGAAGTTACAGGCCTTTTCCGGAGTTTTAATTTGGAGCTGCAAGAGCCGAAACCCTTAATTAAAGGACTTTTTGCGTCCGGTGCAGGGTTCAGGGCTTGTCTCGGAAGAAGGACCCCGTCCTTTTCAATGAGAATAGACAGACAGAGCCCTCTATACCCGAGGCTGTTTATCGGAGTTCCGAGGCCCGCATGCTACGTTCCGAGGCCCGCTTCTGGCGCCTTGGACGAGGATGTTCTGCAGGGAGGTCCAGGACTCGATAATGCCGTGAAGGTTGTAACCTCGAGATGTACTGTAGGGGTTTAGGGTTCTGGGTTTCTGTAGGCGCCGGGTCTTAAGATTTAGAACAGATTTCCGAGTGGGTTGTAGAAGTACGGGATAGATACCCAGGGACGACGACGACGACTACTACCAGTACCACTACGACGACGACGACGAC